GGTCTTGGCATAATCCCACGCATAACCAAACTAAAAGCCGGCTACATGTTTCACTGATGCTCAAAGGCTGAAAGAAACAATTTCAATGAATTTGAATCCTCGTCGCATCCCCTGTCCCCTCAGGTGCTCTCTTTTCGAAGAGCGGCGGAACGTGTGTTGGGGTTCTTAGTTGGCATCTGGCTGGCGATGAAGATTTGACTGCTTCCAGCAAGGACGTTCACCAAGTGTCCTACGAAGGTGGGTGCTGCATCGGCAACTTGCGAATGAACTGTTTCACAGTGAACTCGTTTTGTGCAACGTCTACCTTATCCTCCCTTCTCCCACTCACCTTGGTTCGATGAGAAGACATAGTCATGACGACTGGTGGTGGTTGGTACAGTTCAAGATCCGTCTACGCGTGCCACACACGATCCGTTGCTCAATTCGGATACACCAGGGCGCAGAAAGGACGGATGGGTGTAGCATAGGTAGGATTTGAAAAGGTGAGGATGCGCTCGCTGGAAAAAGGAGTTTAATGACATGAAGTTTCGGATTCTTGCCCGGACCCATCATCAGGAACAGTCGCAAATACGGGTGAAAGAGGCATGACAAATGCAGTATTTGTAAAAGGCATTTACCACGCAACCAAATACCTACAGCAATTAACATCTCTCGCGTTCAGGGCTGGGGGTCACATTTGATGCGATGATTGCCTGTCAGTCCGCATCGGGGCCGTTAATTGCGGTAAGTTCACCACCAGTGTTGATTCTTGGTACAATGACTACTCTACAATTCAGTTTTCTGTCACTTGGACTGTTCGTCTTCCCAGCGTAGATAATGACTCTGCCAGACCGAGTCCCATTACTAAATGTGGGGACTGGGGGGGGGGGGGTGTATAAGGCTCGTTGACGGACTGCGGGCTGGAGAATCATGACTCAAGCGATTCGCGGCTCACGCAGTTGCCAACTCCTTCAAGAATTTCGGTCTTAGAAAATCTGAGTGTGTGCCGTGTTTTTTGGAATAAGTCCAAACCTGGGAGCCAGAGTCCGTCCTCACTGTTGGGTGTTCGGCCATCCGCTCCTGGAGTAATATTCCAGTTTCTCCGAAATATTTATTTTTTGCTTAATTGCCGCAGATCTGATAAACGACTCCCGGCGTTTCTGCCGCGGTAATGGGTCTTCCAGGCTCATTACATGGCGCCTGATATTTGCTTCTGATTTGTGTGCAACTCCAAATCCACGTGGTATGATGAGTCGAATAACGACTTCCGGGACCTTCTTTACGCACGGCAGCGCTCGCCAAAAGTCTCGGTCTGTACAGTCCGGTTCTTAATCTCGTTTGTGCATGCACATGTTGACGAAGTTGTGTATATAGTCATTTGTTCCGAACACGAGTCGAGGTATGGCAGCTCAGAAACTTTGTTTTCTGCTTCACTACAGTGTGATTAAACACGTCGATATAACTCCCTTACGTGGACGCCTTTGTGGCCGATTGGAGGGTTGCTGTTAAACTTCGTCACTTGCGTTGTCCTTGTCTCTTTTGTAAAGACTTTAGTCTTTGGACTACCACAATTACTACGGCAGACAAAGCCACCGAGAAAAGCCAGCCAGTTGTTTTCATACTCCTACACCTTCTCTTCCCTTTCGATCGTAAATTATATGCCCGAGAAGATGACATTATTATGTTATTTGAATGTCAAAACCTGTTCCCGTTCGGCGACGAAGGTATTATCCCTATACCGAGCCCGAAATTTCGGTCTTTGGTGCTGAATGGCCGACAATTCCAATCATTGCAGGACTGTTTCGGCTTTGTGTCCCGAAGTCAGTGAGACCCCGTCGATGAACGCGAGAGCTATTAATTGCAGTACGCATATGCTTGTTTGGTAACTACCTCCTAGGAACACTGAATTTCTTGTGTCCTTATTACTCTTATTTGAGATTATCCCTGATGATGGGTTTGAGTGCGAATCCGAAATGCCAGGGTAATAAACTTGTTGTTCCGGCAATTACACCTTCTTGTTTTGAACTGCTACCGGAAACTCGCCTATTCATCTCTATCGCCAATAGGCAAGTGTGTTACAAAGATCTTATGAACAAGAGGACACTGTGGCATGCATTGTACATAAATAGGGCCATCAAGGGTTCCGCCTCTAGCCCTTCAGATGAATACATAGATATATATTTGGTTGACTTCGAAGCCACGGAACTCGGCTTGCCGCGATAGGCTCAGCGAAGTCAGATTTATTAGTGAGGACTGCGCGGAATTACCATGGGCATGAATTCCTCAGTTTCCGTCTTACTCCTACCTGGGTGCTAGTTGTACTTCAACTCTGACGAATAAACAAAGTGTAGGCTTTTTAGTAAAGGTTTATTAAGTCTGCCACTCATCTGTCATCACGGGAATAAAAGCATGGTTATCAGAACTTACAACGAATCTGAGATATCTCTTGAGGGCCATGAAGAATGGCTTAGATATGGACTGAATGAAAAACTGGAATGACTAGCAAGGTTCATTATGGACTTTCTAATTTTGGAAGTGAACAGAATGGAATAGAAAAGGTTTATTATGGCATCTCTTGGGCACAGTCAGTTACCTTTGAACACAGGAAAAAACCTGATACAAACTCATCCATTTTGGCTGCATTTTAACTTTATTGGTTTAAGGTGTTTGCCTAGTCAGTAGAGCGCGAATGCAGAGTTTGTTTGAAGTTAAAAAGCCGAGTTCCAAGGCAAAATAATAGCATAATTAGAAAAAACTTCAAGCGTTAAGGCGGGTGTTAGAGAGGCAGAAAGCAAGAAGAATGGCTCTGGGACGCCTTTGCTTAACATGAGCATCATCGGACACAGTGAACTAGATGGACTAGAGAAGTTGTAGGTAATAAATACGCGGAATCCAATCCACATATTGATTACCTGCATCTTCTGGATTCCATAAACACAACAAATTGGTGATCGTGCTTATTTTTGTGAGTAGGGAACATACAGCAGAAGGCATAAGACAAATTCATTGCATAGTTTGCTACTAGTTTGCATACTTGCACTGAGAAGATTGTGGCCATTACGGACTTGACCCTATACTACGTCCAAATGACGAGGGCTAGAAGCTCTAACTAACAAACAATTGAACGTCCGGTAGTCCTTAGCACCTTGATAAGAATTTTTATAATGAAATGAAAATTCGTGAAATCCTTTCTGTCGCCAACATAACTACCGATAATACGCTTTTATTATCTGACTCTCAAGAATCAGCCCAAATTTTCCCAGGTTATTGAGCAGTTTTTGTCCACTTCCCACCTAGCGCGCTCAAACATAGCCGTGTTAGAGGGGGCTATGAAGGGGTTTAGCGGGGTCGTGGAAGGGACTGTCGCTGGGCATTCTACGCGACAGCCCCGTTTAGCTCCGCCAGCGGAAAAAAAATATGTAAGGGGCGTCGCTTTTTCGTCCACTTTTGGCACCCTTTGAAATACCGACCTGTACTGCGAATCCCCTGAGGCTCACCGTTCCCAAATGTTGCACGCCAAAACCCGTCCCTGCGTACCTGAGTAATACGTACTATATAGTACTCCCGGTGACCCCGCAATATATGTACCCACTAATCCCAACCCGGTATCGGAAACAGTGGAGGTGACGCAAATGCATGTGAATGAGTTATTTATTGTAAACACCAAAATGTAATTGAAAAATATGTACAATGATCGTTAATGTCATACATTTACTATAACATATGTTAAATCGTTCACCTGGGCGTTCCATAAGTTCCCTCATCGACGGATGGTTCCTATAGCTGAAGAAAAACGACTGTTGGTAAAACACATGGGCGAGGGATGCACTAGACTTTACGAAAGGAGATTAATACTTCAAACTTTGAATATGGATTTTCATATCAATGAAGTGTACTAGAGTAGCATAAAAATAGAACCTCAAATATGTACAGTTAAATGATGGCCATTACCGTGTCTTCAGATCGAAACAGTATTGGGTAACGTGTATGATCGCCTTTTTCTCCAACTTCCTCCCAGCGCTTAGCCCGGCAACCGTGCCGATCTCTCAAGTCATAAAAACAGTCAACGGCCGTCTTGCGAACCATTTCGTTAGAGGAATTACTAAACGTAGGATTCAAGCGAATGGCGTCTGAACGGTTTACAAATAAAGAAAACTTACCACACAGGAGTGCATATAGAGAACTGCCAACAAAGGACTCTTTCCGCATTGAGCCTTCCCAGAAGTTGCTAAGGCAAAGAGACGGTCCTAGCAGTGTACTGAGGAGATACCTCACAAAGTCCTTTTTATTTCGTCCGCCAACTAGGACAGGCCGTTTAATCTATAAGACATGAAGAGTAAGCAAAGCTGACTTTTTACGCACCACTTCCTGCCTAAAACCGGCCTCATTCTTTAGCTTGCCGACGAAGTCCTAGTAGGCATCTTTGGTGCAGAGAGGCAAGGGCAGTGCAGGAGGCCATGGACCGACAACGACGGTGGAGACAAGTATTTGCCTTAACTTTTCAAATAGGAGTGCGTGATGTTGTCGTAATTCTTCCAGAATCACCGTCTAATTCTGAGCTTTGCTGTCGACTTTTTTACTAAATATCTTTAATCAAACGGCGCCATCATATTTTCCGTACGATTCGCCGTACTACTGCTTTTTTTCGCCTTGTCCTCAACCCCTGCCCTTCCCTATGTACGTATAAAAGGTTTTTGTTCATAGTAATCCACTATCTGTTTGAATTTGTTTATCTATTTATTTATTTATATATTTACAGAAATTTGCCTGCATGGTCTTTATTAATTAGGCGTTAGCACAGCTAGTCCGGATGAACCATGATGCCAAAGCTCTGAAGGTAGTTGCTTGGTTGTTCTGAAGTCTATGGGTTTGATGGCAGGTTAGTAGATCTAGACTTTTCAAGCAGTTTCATCTGCAATTTTGTGGGTACTTTAAGTATACCGGTTGAATGAACTGTAAATGCACGAGGAGTTTGATTTGGTCTAGGTGGCGATAAAGGCCCATTTATACACAGCGTGAAGATGGCCGGCAGTGATTTATTCGGGACTGCTGGAAGAAAACTATCGTAGGTTTTTCATCATCTGTTCGAAATTTTCAGGACATCTGGATCGAGCATGTATCACGTGCTTGGCGTTCCGAAGCGTGCGGAAGAAGATGATATAAAGCGGGCCTTCAGAAAAGTATGTGTGGATGAAGTATATTTATTGGAAGATTCTTCCGAACTATTTGTTTTGGCTTCCTTACGTTAGGGACAATGGCTTGGATTACTTACTTAGAGAATTCATCATAGCCATATCCAATCTTTCATTATAATATAAGTTGCAAGATGACATATGACGCATGCATTTTGTCAGAATTTTAAGTGTTGAACCTACGTGCAGTTTGCAGTTTTTGCATCTTATTCTGCCGAAAATGATTTCTTTCGAAGTTCAGTTGTATGTGCCCTTCGTGTGATATTCGAAGGACAAGACTAGGTCTAATATTAGACCTGTCCATATGGACAGCTGTTGTGCCGCAGGGAACTAATACAAGTGTCTTGGACTTCCAAACATTAATAAAACACTGTAACACCTGATAGTGACGGCCTGCTAAAAATGTCATTCTAAGCAAGCCTTTGTTGCACAAAGACGCATGTGGCCCTTACAGTTGAATAATTTTGGAGAACGCTCAGATGTATGAGACCTTATGTAAAACCACGAGGAGTACTGGATCTCGTCTAGGTGCGCCACATCTAAGAGCCCGTTGACCCGAAGATGATGACCCGACCTCGATTTCCCGTCTCCCAGGATTCCTACATATGGATCGTCGTTGCGCGAAACGCGTGTTCCACAGACCGATACGTATGGTTAACCGTAGCATGGATGAGCTTATGCATGTGTTAATCAGCGCAGGGCTTCTACTTGTTGCTGACATTTGTAGTTTTAGACTACGCTAACTCTTGAATTGCACTGCGCAAGCTCTTACTTCTTATTTTATCGAATACTAAGGATAATTTCATGCCTCCCCCTGCCGCATATTCCAAAGGACACTTATGTTGCCTTGTTCTGCGCTTCAATTCCTTGTTCTCACCAGATTCGACTCATTCCCTTCTATCGTCTCCTTATCCGCCGAGTTGGTTTGATATTTCAGTCAGAATTATAGAGCACAGGTCCCTTCCAAATCGAATGCTCATGCGTGACTGCCTTGCGCGCGATATTTTCTCTCCCTACAGTAGTCATTGTCATCACCTGCTATTTACAGCCGAACCAAACCACAATGTGCGCAATGTTGGTTACTACCGATCTCGACTTCTTAGTAAAGTATCCTTTCGTGCGCTCGCCTGCCTCTTTTTTTTTCTCGCTTTCAGCGAGGTACATTATCTTGCAGTTTATATTGGTCACTGATGCCCACTTATTTTCTAGAAACATACACTTCCTGTTCTTGGTAAAGCAGTCTTTCGAAAAGTATTTCCTCTGCGTATACAAGTCTCCCAGCTGTTTTGTCAAGGTTTGATCAAAAAACCCTACATGCCACAATTTCTGACCACCTTGCGCACCGTATATCCACAACATCCAAATACGGCCAGTGGCCAATCACACATAAGGGGTCTGAAGAAATACTTAAATGTTTACTTTCTCTGTGGGTCATTGGACATAGATTTCTTGCCACGTATTCGATGTTGAGTGGTCCTCGTTCAGGATCGGGACAGATGAGTCCCGGTTTATACGTCTGGGAATGACGTTAGTGTAAAGTCGCATTACCCATGTATTTTGAGTTTGCTTATCAGCGCAACCACTCCTTTTTCATCACAAATCGCCTACAGGAGGCCCAAATACAATAATATAACAACGACTGTCATTAAAGAAACCATAAACTACTACATCATACACCTAGAGTCTTTAGTTCGCCTTCAGACGCTACTCCACTGAAATGTAATGGGTGTTATGTCATATCTATGTTTAATGGAGCCAACTTACAACTTTAAATGACATAATCTATGTCCCCGTAGTCACGTTAAGTGCAATTGCCGGCTAGAGTTTGCAAACCTGTATTTGTGATTCTCATACATCTTCTGCGCTTTGAATGAAGCCGAAGTTTGATTTTGTCGCAGGCATTGTTATGGGTGGGGATTTAATTGATATCACCTTCCACTTTAGCCGCAAAGATAATCAAAACCCTTTCCCAGTTCTCTACATATTCTGAAGCTAAGCTAGTGCGTAAACCTTTTACTGGCAATAAAAAAGATGCCTGGTTCATCCAGCTATGTCGGTAGGCATGCACTGCATCCTAAACCAGATTAATTTGATTTCTCAGAAATCGCATGTATATTTCGAGAAAATATTCTTGCGTGCACGCCACTGCCCCCACAACACAGAACTTGCGAAATGATTCTTTGAAATATTTCCTTTAGGCTGCTCTGCGTTTTCACCCCGACAAAAATCCAGACAACCCGGCCGCAGCTGAAATTGCAAGTTATCTTTTGCTTTATTTGTTTGATTTTTTTATTATCTGATCAGTAATTTTGACTGTTTTGCGAACGTTTTTCTCAACTGATATTTAGGTCATTACGTGTGAACCCTGCTTTGTCTCAAATTTTATGGTGTATTGTTTATAGTTAATTACGTCCTCTTTTTGCCATCTTTTCGAATTATACACAAGATTATGCCTGCGTAGTTTCAATTTTTCCATATTTGAACTGGCAACCTTTCTGTATTTATCCGAAAGTGTAGTTCAACCTACCGTTAGTGTTTGAGTTTGACGTAATGCAATTTTCGCTTGACAGAATATAATTCTAATGGTCGGATAGTATTTATTTCTGTCCTTTGAGAATGTGTCACCTGTATCATATCGTCCGAACCCGAAAGTCACATGTCAACCTGTTGCGTGCATATTCTAAGATACGGGCGGTTAGTACGCAAAATGTTATAAACTGGTCTTATGGCAGATGGTTTGTCTAATTTGGACATTATTGCTTACAGAAAGTTGCCCGTTTATCCTATGAGTATTCACCCGTTGACTTGTAATTCAGTCATCTGTTCGAAATATGCAATATTTCCACGCACCGTTGGTCGTTACTGCATTCAGTAGTGGTCAACCCTAAGCACTCGAGATTTTTGAATTATCTGTCGAGGGATGGGTTTTCGAGAGAAGGGTCATCAAGTAAAACCTAAAATTTCTTCCTTTGAAATCTTTTAGCCGTCACGTGGTGCCGCTTATCAGTTACGTGTCCGCATATAACGTGCCATCTGATGTTATATTCTATATCTCCTACTAACCCATTTTACTGGACTGTGGATTTAAATTGATAGACAGCAATGAAACCGGGACTACCGTGCATCTCGGAGGGTATTCGTTTTTCGTATGTCGTAAATAGGGGTACTTTTCAGACGATTGCTGGTAATTTTTCCCCGGGACCCTATCATGTTTGGTATTATTAAACTTGTTAAATAGACCAAGGTCTCTTATTTTATCTGACTTTCGCAATCGCAAAACGACGTGTTTACCACATTTTTGGCAGTTATATACAGACACGACGCAAGGTCAATTCTTACTTGCTAACTAATTTTTCATGGTATAGCACCGTTTAAATTCTATCGCCCCATCCCCTTCAGTTCCATTTAATTGAGTAGCCCCACGAGCCATCGTATTGAGTACATGCTAATGTGGGTCATTTGCGAAAGTTTATACTTTTGTTTGAAGTTCATCAGGGTCCTGTTAGAGAATTTCGTGTCTCCTTTCGACGTCCGATACGTTAATCTAGTTGTACTTTTTGTTGTCTTTTTCAGTTCAAAGACGTCAACCGAGCCTATCAAGTTCTAATGGATCCTGTTAAACGCAGTATCTACGATAAGTACGGCAGTGTTGGCCTGTCAATAGCCGAGCAGGTTGGAGAGGACAATGTCCAAGCATACTTTATGCTAACAAGCAAATGGTGCAAGGTCAGCGGCACTCCTCTGTGCTCAGTTTTTAAGTAAACCAAAGCTTGCAACCTTTAAGTAATGGGCGTACTAAGAGTACCAAAATAATCACAACCCTGTTCTGCTTCAGAGGAGGAGGGGAAAGACACACGTAGGAGTCGTATATACTGTGCAGGATCTCATTGGTTGCCAGAGCCCCCTACGCACAGCCTGCGCCCGCGTCTGTTTGCTGGTATCAGTTTGGCTAGTTGATTGAGGTGGTAGCTGATTTCGTGGACGCCTGTGATTGGCTGTCCCAGAGGCCGCATGCGGGCATGTTCCAGCCGCTCGAGCGTCATGATCAAGCGATCCACAGCACGGCGTAGGTGTCAGAGCTGGAAGCCTTGGACACGCGTGAGGCATTGCACGCTTGCCAAGGGGAGTGGGGCACATTGTGCGTCTTGTTTTCTGATCGCTCTTGATAGTGCGTCTTGTTCTAAGCTGAATTTTCGGTTGGCTGTTAATTACGATCGAAGTCTTCCCCTATTTTCGACTTCTGCTCCGCCAGATCGAGTAAGCTCTAAAACATGAATATGAACCTATCAAAACCGTGCACGCTCATATTGTCTTAAATACTAAACTGACGCCGGTATAAAACAGTAGTAAATATAGATCGTTAGAAACTTTCGGTCCCGTTCCGACATAGGCGATTTCAGAAACGCCCAATACGACCGACTAGATCAGTTCAAGCCAGTACAACGATTGCCTGTGACAGTGCAGTTTTCGTATTTCCTGCGCGGTCGAGCAGGACTGTAGTCCACATGCCTTGTCATCATCCAGAAAGCCCTGGACTGCACAATCAATGTCATGCATTTGCTTACTTCAAGGAATCAAGTAAAGATGGATACCCACTTTTCCAATGAAGACGCTATTTGTTGAAGGCGACAAGTAGGTAAAAGGCAACCAACTTGCTTTCTGCCAATATACGTGGAAGGTACGCGTGTTATGGATTGGTCGCAAACCTCACTGGTCGCCCGTCCAACAACTCTTCTTGACCCGCGTCCCCAAACCAGAACTCAACAGCAAGGGTGGAAGGAAGTGTGTATTGACGCATTCTAACAGTGTTTATAAGCCAAAAGGGAACCTACGGGAATGTCCAAAGTCATCTTGAAATCCGACCAATCAGATACCGTCCTTGAGTGGCTAGTGTGTCGGCTGGACTTTTGGCTCATCTGACTGGTTGAGTAGACCTCTAGTCCTGTCGGGAGCCGGCGTGACACCAGCACGCGCACGGCTTGCGGGCGGATCACTAGGGCAGCGTACCAACAACATATTTTACCTAATCCCTAGCCGCCCTCGGTACGGATCCAGGGAGGTATGCGTACAGACCTCATTTATGAAAAAGTTCCTTAGTTGTTCAGTATGAGTGAACAACTGAGGGGATTGAGATCTCAGTCAACTCGCTACTAACGGCATTTGGCGAGTTTGAAATACTGATCATCTACCCGCCAGTATCTCCCCGAATAGTACTTGCTGACTTATCATAATATGCAATTATGTTAAACATTTTGGTCTTTCACAGATGGCCTTTCAACGCCTTCATTTCGTACTCTTCTAGGGGTTATTCTTCTTCTGCTGCGCGATCACTGGTTGCTACTTCTGCTGTTGCTGTTGCTTTTGCTGCAACTTTTGTTGCGGCAAGTTTAAGCCTCCAGCACATGAGCCTGTCCCCGAGGAGTTGAATTTACGTGTAAGTCAGATTTTCTGATTCTTCAGAATGTTGTTTTCTGAGTTGCTACAAAATTACGTAGAAGTCTAGGACGTAAGGTTTCTGCGCCTGGTCTTTCTCCACGTGGAAATTCCAAAGTAACGGATGCTATTTTTTCCCTGTTGCGGGACCATTCTGGTCAACGCACAGCCGCGAATTTCACTGGTCTTGTTTGACGCGTTTAACCAGGTATGCTTATGAACGAGAACGATCAGTGCACATGTTTGTACATATTCCAGCGTAAACAGCAGAGAGCCTTATTGACCGACCAAATCTTTATTTGTCCTGTGGAGACTATATTACGCAGACACCTAAAAGAGCCTTATATACCGAGTCTAACATAGGCAGTCATAGATTGAAAGGAGAACCGCATATAGAGAGTCCTGCGGCGTCAAGTTAAGATCGGTGGAGACGACTGAATGACTGCTGAACAATATTCCCACAGACCACAGTTTGTGATTGTTTGGTTAAGATAACAATTGAGAACCTTTCAACCGAACAGTCTCCGCTTACCACATATCATGTTAGTAAAATAATGGACAAGGGCAATTTGTATCAACATCCTCCGGATACTTCGTTTTTCTTGCTACTTAATTTAGTGAAGTAGCGTAAGGCGTAAAGAAGATGAACGTGCGATCAATAGAAGAGTAGGTGTGTAAGCCCGAGTTTTCAGACACGTTACGGAACCCAACATCAGAAACTACGAGAGTACAGCAACACATGGACATTTTTTGTATTCAACTCACGAGGGAGGAGAAGGAAGGAGGGTTAGTGTTCGCGACTGGGCTGAATCCACGCCATCTAACTGACAGTGGACTCACGTCGTGGTAACAGCGTGCGCTCTTGGCTGGGAACTGAGCTGCGCCACTTCGCCGCTTGAGTGCAGCGCGTGATACGGGGGGAGGTATATCGGTTTGTCTGTTTATGAAGTTGGTCTCAGACATCCAGACCTCCAGCAGTACCAATCCTGTATCATTGCTGGCTCGCGCCAATATCCGCACGCTCACAAAGTTCAATTTGTGGCCTTCCCCCAGGATGTAAGTAGTAACGTGATGCAGTTAATCGTCGCTTCGAACGGTCCGTTTGCGCTGAAGTGCTCGTGAGCTGAGTCGTCCGGTCTAGCCTATATAATGATGATTTGATAAATCACGCCTCGTTGCTCACCTTCGCCCAGTCGGTCCTTCATTTGCATGATTTTGGTACTCCTGGTAACTGCCGGAGGATGGGCAATACCCACGCAAAGCTCTGCGGCAGTGCGCCCCCTTTCTTTTGATACATTCTTTATATATGACAGAGGATGACAGCGTGTCGGTGGCCCTCTTTCGTTTGTTCTTTGTGGGCGCGTACGGAGACAGTGGCAGATGAAATTATTTGGATAGCCGTTCCTTGCTTATTTGTCTGGAAGACACCGTAGTTCTTGTACTGGCCCCGCAGGCTCCCTGCAGTGCGTTTTTACCCTTTCGTAGAGCGCTCAACACAGCCACGTTTGTGTGCCATCGAGTGGTGGTTGCAATGGTAGCTGAGGACCTGGGTTGTGTTAGATGTCATGCTTCACACCGTTGTGCTAATTTCACCATTAGTTCTGCATGCGATGAGAACGTAAAGGAAGGGAAACAGTTCAGGGCAATGCCGTTAAGCAGGTACTGATTGTCCATCCTTCTCAATTAGAGCGAACGTGTTGTCCACGTATCAGCGCAAAAACACAGGTTCGTAGTGGCTTAAAGCGACCTTCTCCAGCTCTTGTAGGGAAAATTTTGCAATAAGTCTAGATGTTGGGGAACCCATCAACGTTTCTTTGGCCTGCTCTTTTGTTCTGCCATCGAGAGTGCAGAAGTCCGTAGGTAGAAT